CCTATTTGTTTATTTTTGTTTGCTTGCTTTCCCTTGCTCAGGAAGATATATCAGGAAAAAAAATATGCTAAGAGAAATGTCAGTTTACTGCCTATGTTTTCTTTTAGGAGTTTTATGGTTTTGAGTCTTACATTTAAGTATTTAATGCATATTGACTAGTCTAGTTTCATCTTTTTTTTATATATCTGTCCAACTTTCCTAACACCATTTATTGAATAGACTGCCTTTATCCCATTGTATGTTCTTGCTGTTATTTATTGATTGATCATACCAGGAGTAGGTTTATTTCTGGGCTCTCTATTTTGTTCTATTGATCTATTTTTGATCCATTTTCTGTCTTTTATGCCAGCAACATGCTGTTTTGATTACTAAAGTCTTGTAGTGTAGTTTGATAACAGGTAGCGTGATACCTTTGTCCTTTTTTCTCAAGATTGTTGTGGCTATTTGGAGTATTTTATGGTTCCATATTAATTTTTGGATTATTCTAGTTGTGTGACAAAGGCCATTGTTATTTTGATAGAGATTGCATGGTATCTACAGATTGATTTGGGTAGTGTGGGTATTTTAATGCTGTTAATTATTCTTATTGGTGAGTACAATATATGCTTCCATTTATTTATATCTTTAATTCGTTAAATATCTTATAGTTTTCCAAGTACAGGTTTTTTACCACCTTGTTAAAGTTATTCCTAGGGCCCGGCCAGCATGGCTCAATGATTGAGTGTTGACCTATGAACTAGGAGGTCATGGTTCAATTCCTGGTCAGGGCACATGCCCAGGTTGTGTGCTGGTTGGAGATATGCAGGAGGCACCTGATCAGTGATTCTATCTTATCATTGATGTTTCTAGCTCTCCTTCCCTCTCTGAAAACAATAAAAAATATATATCTAAAAATTTATTCCTAGCTGTTTAATTTTTTTTTGGATGCAGTTGTGTTTGTTTTTTAAAAAAACATTTTTATTGATTTCAGAGAGGGAGAAGGAGAGATAGAAACATCAATGATGAGAGAGAATCATTGATCGGCTGCCTCCTGCACGCCCCCTCACTGGGAATCGAGCCCACAGCCCAGGCATGTGCCCTTGACTGGAGTCAAACCTGGGACCCTTCAGTCTGCAGGCTGATGCTCTATCTACTGAGCCAACCCGGCCAGGAAAGTGGGTTTTCTTAATTTCTCTTTCTTATTGTTCACTATCTATAATAATAAAAGTGCAATATGCTAATTAGACCAGACATCCTTCCAGACGACCTTCCAGAGAAAGCTGGGGCTGCGAGGGAAGCCAAGGTCCAAGGTGTCCGCTGGAGGCCGCAGGGAAGCCCGGGTCCCAGTGCTGGTAGCTGGGGGAAGGAAGGCCTACTCTTGTACGAATTCCATGCATCCAGCCTCTAAATATATATAAAAGTCTAAGTGACCATTACAACTGGTCGATTGTATGACTGGTCACTAGGAAAGTGCACTGACCACCAGGGGGCACTCAATGCAGGAGCTGCCCTTTGATGATCAGTGGGCTCCCACAGCCAACCTCCCGCCACCAGCCAACCCACAGTTCCTCCCTCCAGCCAGCCGGTCTCAATCAGCCCGATTGCTGGCCAGGTGAAGGAACCCCACCTGTGCACTAATTTGTGCACCAGGCCTCTGGTTGCTGTATAAAAATGCAACCAATTTCTGAATATTTGTTATCCTGTTACTTAATATATCAATTGCAGTAGTTTTTTGATGGAATCTTGATACATTTAGTATCGTGTCATCTGCAAATAATGAGTTTTACTTCTTTCCAATTTGTGTGTGTGTGTGTGTGTGTGTGTGTGTGTGTGTATATATATATATATATATATATATATATATATATATCTTATTGCTGTGGCTAAGACTTCCAATAAGTCAAGTGGACATCCAGTCTTGCTCCCTGATCTTTAAAAAAATACTTTTAGAGAGCATTATGCTAATGAAATAAACCAGTCAGAGAGAGACATATATATGATCTCATTTATATATGGGATCTAATGGACAAAATAAACTGATGAACAAAAGAGCCAGAGACATTTAAGCATGGAATAGACTGATGTATTTCAGAGGAAAGGGGGTGTGAAGAGATTAACCAGTGAGTTTATGTGCATATATGCATAGCCCACAGACAGATGAGTTTGGGAAGAGTTGGGGAAGGGGATGGGATGGGGGTGGAGGGGTTAATAGGGCAGGGGGAGGAAACATCTGTAATACTTTAAGATAAATTGGGGTGGGGGTGGGGGGGGCGGCGGACACTTTTAGCTTTTCCCCATTGCAAATGATGTTAGCTTTTGGTTTGTTATATATGGCCTTTTTTATGTTGAGGTATGTTACCTCTATTCCCACTTTGCTGAGGATTTTTATCATAAATGGATGCTGGATTTTGTCAGATGATTTTTCTGCATCTATTGATACATGATTTTTTATCCTTCATTTTATTTCATGGAGTGGTTTTAGGTTTAAACTTTGCTGCTAGGAGAGGAGCCTCGACAGAGATGCAGGAGAAACCCCTTGTCCAGGAATGTTTGCATTTTTAGAGGAGGAGGTTAGAGAAAAGACTCAGATGACCCAGGCAGGGGAGCCCACTACCAGCCCCCCCCCACCCCCTGCCCCTCCTAGGGGACCCATCCTCCGCCTGAGCTCACTCCCTGCCTCACAGGGAGGCCCTCTCTGTCAGGTAACAGAGAGGCTGCCAAGGGGCAGTGGGCAAGCCTTCCCTCTGGACATTGCTGGTGACGTGGTTAGGGGCTTAGTCCTTTGAAGACTGGGTGTGGGTGTGACCTTTATCCTGCTTTGCATCCTGGGCCTCTGCCTCTGCCACTCTGGCTGCGGGGGTGTGCCAGGCTGAGATGGTAGCCCTTCCAATATGGCAGCTTGCAGAACTGCCACTGTGGCACTGTTGTGCTGTTATCTTTTTTTTTTTTTTTTTTAATAAACTTAGAAAGAAATTAAACTTGGATTCTATGCTTTTATCGTAAGTGAAGAAATGAAAGGCCTAAAATGCCATTGACATTGGAAAGGGCACATTTCTTTGTGGAGATGGCCCCTTTCCCAAATTTCTAGGATGTCAAAGTACTTGCCTCAATGTTTGAGACAAGAATGCCTTGCGGCTGCAGGGGAGAAAGGAGTGAAAATAAAACTGGACTTGATATGTAGTGCTTGACATTCTAACATCCGGCCAGTTTGCTGCATGCCTCTGTTACCTTCCTGGCTCAGGAAGGAGTTTCCTTTTGATGCTCCAAGTGGGTGTGTTTCTGTTTTGTTTTCTGGCTGCTTACGCCAAGAAGAAAGGATGTGCGTGTTCCTGCTAGGACCACAGCCCTGAAATCTGGCCAACGTAGAGTGGCAAACTCATCAGACAGTACATGACCGAAGGACCATGTCTGTGTTTGTTATCAGTGGGCTTTCTGGCTGCTGAGCTGTGTGGGTCATTCTTTCCTTTTCCTAATCATGTATTTTATGCACAAGCATGTAATAGTACTAGAATAAGGGAGAAAAGGTATTTGAAAAATAGAAGTAACCAAATTTTATGGCTTTTATTTTTGTTGAAACTGTGGGCGAAAAAACATTATATAGATATTTAGAAAGAAACTTCAGAGGCAAACTTGAGGGGCATTTTTTTATTATAAATTTAATATGGTTGATTAATGAAAAATCACAATGAAGTACCGAGAAAATGTCTGTCAATATAAAAATTTTAGCAGCATTTTCAGTTTCAGGCTCTAACATTAGTCATACTTCCTCCCGCTATCAAAAAATAATCCAATGGGATACAGTCAGCATCAAGATGTTCAGCTTAGTGAAGGCCTCAAGGAAATGCTCAGATCCAGTGTATTATCTGATATCTCAACCGCCCCTTTCCCAAATTTCTAGGATGTCAAAGTACTTGCCTCAATGTTTGAGACAAGAATGCCTTGCGGCTGCAGGGGAGAAAGGAGTGAAAATAAAACTGGACTTGATATGTAGTGCTTGAGCGCATGTCCTCTGTACATTCTCTCTACTGACAATGAGCGGCCATGGCAGGGCTGACCAATGCCTGCCTGTGGCAGCAGGGGAGGGGGAGGGTGGGAAGGGAACCGGAAGTGGGACGTGTACACGGTGGGGGATGGTGCCTCAGCCCACACACTGCTCGGGGCAGGCCAGAGCCTGGCGGTATTGCTACATCCCAAGTTAACGGCACGATTCACGAGGAGGGGAGACAAACAGTATGAAAATATAATACTGGCAAACTATTCCCCTGCTTCTTTGGTACTCTCCAAAAATTCTCTGATCAAAAAAGCTAGGAAGCGCACATCATTAAAAAATTACAGTTTTAAGTATTTACAGAAGCAATTATGATATATTACATAATCAATACACAGTATATGAACAAACTTCAGTGAAAGCACTTGGGAACTCCTGTTCCAGTATTATTCAATATCACTTCAACATACACACACCTCCCAAATCTGTATCATACATCCTCTATCTGTTATCTTACAGTATGTTAAATGGGAACAAAGGCATTTTCCAATCTACACTTTCCTTTTAAAAGGTTCTCATAATTTGCCACTGAAATCACTATGTACAAAAATTTGCTGAATATTGAATTCTAGGCAATTCATTCCCATTTTGGATATATTTGCAATAATGCTACCTATTCTATGTATACAATATATATTTAATATATAAGTAACCGCACCATGTTATGTCACCACGATACCAGTTTAATGCACATGATTATGTACAGTAGTTAAGTTAGCTCTGGAGGATGACTACCACCTAGGTGAACTGTGGTCGGAAGGAACCACCTGCAGGGCGTGGAGAAGCTGGCTGGGAGACGGCCCGTGCATGGGCAGGGCGCGCGCGCGCGCGCGCGCGCGTGTGTGTGTGTGTGTGTGTGTGTGTGTGTGTGTGTGTGAGAGAGAGAGAGAGAGAGAGAGAGAAATGTGGGCACACGCTTCCCACATGTCCCCACGCCAGACTCTCCCTCGTTGGCTGGCTGGAAGAAGACAAATCACACATATGGAAGGATCCCGTATACAAGGAGAGCCATGACAGCAGCACTGAACAGCCCGGCCACGGGCACAGTCACGAACCAGGCCACAAAGATGTTCCGGAAGAGGTGCCAGTCCACGGCCTTCCGGGAGCGGATCCAGCCCACAGCCACCACGGAGCCCACCTGAGAGCAGAAACGTTTAACGTTAGAGGCGGCCCACAAACTCAAGCAATGTAAACTGGCTAATCCCACATAAATTACATGATAAAATTACCCATTCTTTCCTCTGACTTTCCTAATAGCTTCTAAACGGGTTTAGATTTTAGGTATACTGTCTCTGCTTCTGTACCTTATAAACTATGAATGCCCCTGTTTTAAATACTCCCCACATAGGCTACTGCTTACTACAGTATGTAAACCGGCTTTAATTACACAATGAAATGGCGATGATGTATCTTCCTCTTAGAAAAATAGCATCACAACATGTTGGAGCTGGAGAAGACCTTTGAGAGGATGAGATCACAGAGCCCCGGAGGGCGCAGGGGCGCCAGACAGACCACAGGTCACGGCAGACTGAGGACTAGAAGTCAGGCCTCTGACATTAAACTGGTTTCCTCCATTATCTCAAGCTGCCTTCAGTCCTTGCACTTTAGCTAATTTTAAAAAATAGAGCATAAATATTGGATCTAGTGTCAACAACGCATCACAGAGGCATGACAGAGATCCGTGGAAATTAAGAGTATCAATACTGATTCAAATATTTTTCTAAATACTTGCAGAGCATTTTATGGTTTGCTGAAAGTCTAAAAAGGAAAAAGAAAAAAAAGACACTTCAAGTATCCTAAAAATTTTAAGAAGGTACATTCCTTTTACCATCTCACGCCTCCCTCAGGCTCTGGGGAAGCTCAGAGAGTTTAACGTGTTATGCGGCTCTTAAAGATATCCATAAAACAGGCTTGTCTGCTGACCCTCCAATACTTCAGAATCAGCAGTGGCCAGTGAGATTCAAGTAGCGAAAATGAAATCTAACACTTTAAATTGTTTATGGAGGCCAACCAGAACGCCAAAAATGGTGTCATATTTAAAGGCAGTTACTTATGTGACATTTTGTTGACTCAAGCCATCAAATCCACAAACATTATCTCCTGAGATTAGATTCTTGTTACTCATTGTCTCCCCCAGAGTGTGTGTGTGCACCTCAACTGTTCTGGATTACCTTCATAATAAGGACATAGTCACATTGCTATGCCCTCTTCCTTTCTTAGAACATATATATATATATATATATGTGTGTGTGTGTGTGTGTGTGTGTGTGTGTGTGTATTTTAAAATATATTTTATTGATTTTTTATGGAGAAGAAGGGAGAGACATAGAGAGTTAGAAACATCGGTGAGAGAGTAACATCGATCAGCTGCCTCCTTCACACCCCCCACCGGGGATGTGCCCACAACCAAGGCACATGTCCTTGACCAGAATCGAACCCGGGACCCCTCAGTCCACAGGCCGACGCTCTATCCACTGAGCCGAACTGGTTTCGGCAGAACATATTTTTTTTAAACATAAAGGTAATAAAATAATTTTAGACCAAGTTTATGTAATGAGGGCTGTACAATTAATGAGAACCCAACTACTGTTATATTTATATATTCTTTTCTAGTATTTTTATAAATGTACCTTTATTAATAAATAACAGGATAGGCTACCAATTTTCTTTAAAAAATTAACATTATATTCTAAGCATTTTCCCCTTGTACTCACAGCCTTTATGATTATCATGTAAAAATGGTACATACTTTAGGTGGATGTACCTTAATTTATTACCCATTTCCGAATTTGCTTCCAATTTTTCCATGAGTAACCTATTAACTCATGTAGCTTATGTTTAGGCTTTAAAAAATAATATTGCCTGAAATGGATTCTTCACTAAAGGGGACATTTATAAAACACCTTGAAATAATCTGAAACCTAAGAGAAAAACTGCAAGAACTCCCACACACTTCACCAAAATCCACCAATGTTTAACTTTTGCCATAATTTACAAAGAACCATTTTCATAAAATATCCTGCTCCTCATCAACTTCCCTCTTCTCTTCCACTAGAGATTAGCAATCTGATCTTCAATATGTTGGTTGCAAAACGGTGATTTACCAAGGCCTGCCCATGCACCCAGTGGAATGCTGCTTTGAGGAAGATCTTTGTCTCCCACTCCATGCTAGGACCTCAGTGCCTGCTGCCAAAGTGTTACAACAGGTGTGAATATACAAGGTCGTCCATAACCTGTGAACTTCACACACCGCAACAATTCTGCAAATTGTTCGTTTTTGCTAATCAACAAAAAAGTGTACAACTGTTGCTATAATTTGTATTTCTTTGATTATGACTAAAGCTGAACTTTATCCAATTTTACTCCCTCTAGTCGTGACATATAAAAATTGTCTCTTCATATATTTTGCCCTTTTACATAATGGAATCTAGATGTAAATATGTCCCTTATTTACTTATATGTGAAAATATTAATGCAAATATTTTCCCAACCCAAGTTTTCCCTTTTAAGTTTCTAATTTTATGCAGTAACAAGACAAGCAATAACAAGTGCTGGAAAGTTGTGGAGAAAAGGGAACCCTCATTTTCTGCTGGTGGGAATGTAGACTGGGTAGGCAGACTGGCAATTACTCAAAAAATTTAGAGCTACCATATGACCCAGCAATCCTTCTTCTGGGTATCTACCCCAAAACTGGAAAACATGTATACGCAAAGAAATATGCCCCCCTATGTTCATTGCAGCATTATTCTCGGAGGCCAAGACATGGAAACAACCAAAGTGCCCTGTGATAGAGGACTGGATAAAGAAGATGTGGTGCATGTACACAATGGAGTACTGCTCAGCCATTAAAGGATGACATAGCGCCATTTGCAATAACATGGATGGACCTGGAGAATATTATGCTAAGTGAAATCAGTTAGAAAAAGCTAAGAACCATATGATTTAACATATGTGTGATCCAAAACTGAAACTCATGAACACAGGCAGCAGTGTGGTGGTTGCCAGAGGGAATGGGAGGGGGGCACAAATACATGGTGACAGGAGAAGATCTGACTTTGGGTGGTGGTCACACAGTGCAATATACAGATCTTGTAACACAGAAACCCATACCTGAAACCTATGTGATCATATTAACCAATGTCACCCCAATACATTTAATAAGATTAGGAAAAAAGAAAAATGTTAAATTCTTCAACCATGAAAAAAAAATAATTTCATGCAATAAAATATGCTGCTTTTTTCCTCCGTAATTTATCCTTAGCTTGAATATTTGATACATATTTAATTATTTTATTCTAAATTCTCTAAAACAAAGTCATATTTTATTCTACATTTTAAAATATTTAAAAATATTATTTAAGCCATTAGATATATGTTTATATATTTTGAGAGTTGTGGGTCTAATTTTGTTTTTCTAAATTGATAGTCAGCTAACATCCCTTATTGGTTAAATATTCTCTTCCTCAAACTATATACTCATATATAACAGGCTCTTTCTCTTGCCTATCGACTGTTTTTAGATAAGTATGTAAGTATTTTATTATTGTGGTAAAATACACGTAATATAAAATTTATCTTTTTAACCACTTAAAAATATATATGTTTTTATTGTTTTCAGAGAGGAAGGGAAAAGGAGATAGAAACATCAGCGATGAGAGATAATCATACATCGGCTGCCTCCTGCACACCTCCTACTAGGGATTGAGTCTGCAACCCGGGCATGTGGCCTGACTGGGAATCGAACCACGACCTCCTGGTTAACTGGTCTATGCTCAACCACTCAGCCACACCAGTTGGGCCAATTCTAGCCATTTTTAAGTGTACAATTTAGTGGCATAAAGTATATTCACAGTGTTTTGCAACCATTATCAGCATTCATCTCCAGAACTTCATCATCCCAAACTCTGTTCCCTTAACACAATTCCCCAGCCCCTCACTTCCATCTACTTTTAACTCTTATTTCTTTATAATAAACTTTCTACCTGGCAAAGGAAATAAACATTACGCTTATCACTTTTCTTTTTAGATAATTTTATGTTCTTGGTAATTTAATATACCAAATGAACTTTAGATTCACTTTGTAAAGTTGTAATAAAATTTGGTTGGGGTTTGATTTGAGAACTGACATCTTTTCAAAATCTGGTTTCCCCATCCATAACAAAGCATATCTCCTACACAGGTGTTCTTTCCCGTGTCCTAGCTTCCCTCTGAGGAAGCAGAGGGTGTCCCCAGCTTACGCCATCACCAGGCACCAACAGCAATAGGATTATTGAGAAGTGGGGGAACCGGGGAGCAAGACTCAGTAAATTAGATTAGAATTTAAAATCAGCAGTGTTTCCTGTAAGCTGTTCCAAATCCAACGCTAGGTGAGTAATCATCAATAGAAATGAACAATGTGGGTAACTCACACAAAAAGGGTGATCCCAAACCACCCCAATATGGAATTAAAACATTCGGATCACACCACTCTGAATTCCTACAAAAGTGCCCACAAAGGACTATCTGCATTAAATTCTGGGACACGGAGAAGAATAAAATCTACCCAGGTAAATTTAAAAAGCTCATTTTACACAATCGTTTCCCTATTTTTTCCTGCCAACTTCCCCACTTTTGCCCACTTTTTAATGGAGGCTCTAAGCAAGAAACGTTAACAGGCAGATGGGAGAGGAAGCAGAGAGCTGGACAAATCAAACACAAGGTCTGATCGTTCCGGGAAATCTGATGGGACTGTTATGGTTTCATGTGGAAGTCAATACCCTTTGAATATTTCCAGATTCACAGCTTCACTCACATAGGGCCTCATTCTTAATGCCATCCCACGTCTCTCGTATTTCGTCCCACATTACGAGCAGAAAAGAAAATGTGGTGAAACCGAGTAAGTGTTACGGGGCTGGCAGCCGTGAACTCTCCTTCCTATGTGGACAGCACGGAGCGTCTCTGTCCGCACCCCTGGGGTCCCGAGAGCCAGGACTCTGCCTTCAGCTCCTGCAGTACCTGGGCTGGGCTTTGTCCACAGTCCACGATCAGTGCCTGGACAAACGGACTAGAATCCAGTTGAGCTCTGTCTGCCTCACTGTGGTCCCATGTTAAGACTTGTTTTAAGTGCCAACAAGCTATTCTAACACTAGCCAACAGCTCTCAGGAACAACACCTCGCATGTGAGTTGTACAGCTATTCATTCACATCCACATGTATTCACGAAGGTCCTGCGCAAACTGGATAAATCCCTTAGTAGCACTTCCTTATTGTAGTATAGATATAAATATTGAGGAAATGACATTTAAGAATATAGTTTTTATAGGCATTGTATACTTTGCATCTAATTCACACATGTATTAAAGAACTTAGTGTTAAATTAGCAAAACTAGTAGTCTCACTACATGTACATCAGCATAGGTTAGCTTACAGACCGAGTTCGGTAAGTAACACCTACAACCTAGAAAAAGCAAACTTGTGTTGTTTTCCAGAGATCTTTCAACTGGTGTGAAAGAAGTTTGCCTTCACTAGGCTTGCTCAAGCGCAGGGTTAATCATTAAAAAGACGGCGTAATGTTTATTTCCAAGCAGCCCCAAGGACTATTTACGCCTACAGAGAAGTTCAAACCTGACTTCCTTGGGAAGGAATATATTTAGTAACATCACTTCCTCTAGGCTCCCACACACAGTGAGCTGAAATGGAGGTGGAGTGAGGGGAAGATGATACCTTTTCATTCCAAACAGTACTGTCATATTTCAGTGAACATGTGCTCTTTGTAATTTTTAAATAACTGAAATCAGAAAAATAATGCTAGGAGAATGGCGGGTGGTCACCTACCACCTTCCTTTCCCTGCCTTCCTCTTTGGACTTGAAAGGCGAGGACAGCATATGGAGGGCAGGCTGGACCTCAAGGGCAACTTGCTAATTCTGTCACCCTCCTGGACAGTGAGTTAACTTTTCTAATGTGTCAGTGTCCTCATTGGTAAAACAGGGCACTACCCTCAAAGGTGTGCGGGAAGATGAAACTTAAAACGGTGCCCAGCAGAGAGCACAGCCCCACACACTTTAGGCACGGTTGGCTTCCATGATTCTGACTATGATGATTATGCTTAGGAGGTCCGGAGCATGAGGTGAAGTTCTGCATGGTTCTATCACGTTAAATAAGTGACTTAACTCTGGAAACCTCAGTGTTCTTAGATGTAAACTAGAGGCCCAGTACACGAGTGAGATCCGGATGGGGGGGAGGGGCCGTGGGCAGATGGACAGCTGGCCCCGCCCCCTGGTCAAGGGGACAATATGCATATGAGACTTTTATTATATAGGATTGGGAACACCAGTGCCAGTTTCAAATGATTGCTATGGGGATTAAATGACGTATTTTGCACATAGTATAGAGCACTAAGCATAGTCCCTGACACTCGATATATGCTCAGTAAGTAGAAATAACTTTTACAATGAAAATGTGTGGAAATTGAAGTTATTTTGTGGCAAAAGAAGAAGGAACAGCCTGACCGGGTTGGCTCAGTGGATAGAGAGCATCAGCCTGCTGACTGAAGGGTCTCAGGTTCGATTCCGGTCAAGGGCATGTACCTTGGTTGTGGGTACATCCCCGGTGGGGAGTGTGCAGGAGGCAGCTGATCAATGTTTCTCTCTCATCAATGTTTCTGACTCTCTATCCCTCTCCCTTCCTCTCTGTAAAAAATCAATACATTAAAAAAAGAAGAAGGAGGAGGAATAAGAAAACAACCCTTTCCCATGAGGCTGCCCTTCCATGAGGCATAGCACTCAGAAGATTCCCATAAAAGCTGCCTGGCCCTAACAGTCAAACACTAAGTCCTTTGCCTTTGTGTATGCACACAGTGGCTTGTGTATGAATGAAGAAGACCGGGGTCATTTCCTGGTGCCTCGAACAGCACCACACACCCAGCAGGTATGAAAGAGTTTTTCTTGAACGATGCAAGCAAATGAACCTAGGAAAAATCTGGAGGTGACTTTGCTTTGTTGAAGTTGGGGAGTACTTTTGTCAACAGGAGGCCCACTGAAGATGTTTGCGAATTTTCCGGACCTGGGTTATCAGACCTGGGTTCTAGTCCTGGCTGCACCCGAGTGACCTTGGATAACTCCCTGAAACCCACGGAGCCCTTCTCCTCTTCGTTAGTCCTTACAGCTCCAACATTCCTGTCCTCACACAAGGGATCCCCTCCTGCACAGCCCTGAGCTATACACGTTGGCTGTGAGCAATAGTGAGCATCACCCTTCCTCTGGAATTTCTCTAAGGCAATCCAGTCACGTTGACCACCAGATAAGGAAAAAGAACTGAAACAACTGTCTTACAGGTCCATTGAGATGATTTCTGCTTATCTCTAGTTCCACTGTCCACTCCCAGTCCCCTGCAATGGGCTGGCACTGAGTGGCATGCCCCCACTTGAGCCTAGGAATATGGTTAGCGCACACATGACTTCAATGCAAAATCACTGTGGAGACAATGAGAGAGACAGGACACATGGAAAGTGTGAAGCACATGTTGGGGAGGGAAGGCTCTCGCCAGGCATGCGTTGAAAAAGCGAAGTGCACACTGCGAAGCGGGAAAGGTGGAGAGGGATAGTCTGAGGAGAGCAATCGCCCCACATCCAACATGCACACCCAGCAAGCCTGCAGATGACTGTCCACAAACAACAGCATACACAGCGTCACCAGCTTTTCTCCGACTCCCTGGGTGACTGGGCCATCCCAGCAGCCGGAAGGAGGCGCTGGCAGGGGCCTACCTTGCAGTGAGTGGTGCTGACAGGAAGCCCCACGTTGGAGGCGATCACCACCGTGAACGCGGAGGCCAGTTCAATGGTGAAGCCACTGCGGGAGGGAGACAGGAGACACGTCACAGGCGCCCTTTGTGTGGGCCTCACGGACACCCAGGGGCGCCAAAGTCTCGCCAGGACATCCTTTGAATTGACTGCCGACTCCTGACTGGGCCAGATGGCATCAACAGAACTAGAAACTGCTGTATAATGGCAGCGATTCACACTGAGGCTCTGCTCACACTGTTTACAGCCCCGAATAGCCTTGTTTTTCTGCTAGGTTTTCAAAACCCACACTGTAGTAACTGGGTCAGAAATTCCTGCTGTGTAGAGAGTGGTCACTTGCTCATTTCTAAAGTGGCGAACGGAAAACTGTGCTCTCGTTGAAAAAATGTGTAATTATTTACCAAAAAAGGCGTATTTTTTTCTCAGATGACTAATTTTTCTTGAAGTCAACCTTATAGAAGAATCACTGAAATTAATTTCAAGAAGGAAAAGATTTCTTACAATAGATAATTCCAAGTTTCAGCTGTATCCTTCTAAAGTTCCCTAATCTAGCTAAAGATGAATGAAAAGGACAGCAGGAAGGACTAACAGAGAAAACCATGAATCTGGGACCCCACCTCTGAGGGCACAGGTTGCGAGGGGAAGGAAGCACAAGGTGACCTCAGCAGGAGGGAGGCAGGTGAGAGCTGCTTCGTCCACCAGGTGGAGCTGGTGAGGCAGAGACTTTGGGGGAAAGGCAGGCCCTGGGCCATGGTGGTGGTTTGCATCCACTTGCTCTCCAGAGCTCATGCTGGGTGAGACCACCAGTGGGAGAAAATGGGGGCTCCTGGATGGGTTCTGTTATCTTCCCTCCTGCTCTGCTTCAGCCTCTCCTTCCTTCTGTCTTCCCACCCTCTCGTTTTCTCTCCCTCATCTCAGTGCCACAGGGATGGGGGCCCAAGAGTGCATGAGGGAGGGCGTTAATAAGAGGCCAGCAAAGGTGGGGTTTGCTTACCCTCCGCCCCTGCTCACTGTGATCCCCAGCAGACTGGCTGAGCTGGGGGGTTCAGGGCATAAAAGCAGCACAAGAGGATGTCAACTCTGCTTGGCTCAAAGAAGCAGCCCTGCGGCTCCAGCCTGCACCGGGCTTACCTGGATGGCGTGATGGGAGTGAGGTCTTTGCCCATGGTCTGGATCACTCTTCTTCCCCAAACCCAGAGCCCCGTACAAATCCCAACGCCTCCGTAAAACAGCAGCCAGATGGGAGTAGGTGCTTCCTGTAGGACTCCACCTTGTTCATAAATCAGCCACAAAGCAACCAGAGGGCCAATGGCATTGCTGGGAGAGAGAAGAGGTAGATGAGTTAAACAAACATTGTACGGACAAATGACATGGTACACAACATGTCTTGGGGATAGCCCTGCTTACTGTATTTATGGCTTGCCTATGTATAATCCAGTGGTGATCAAAGCGATTTATCCAATTTTTTTTTTGTTGTGGTAAAAGTATAACAGAAAATTTGCCATTTTAGCAATTTTTAAGTGTACAGTTCAGTAGTATCAAATATATTCACATTGTTGTGAAACATCTTCAGAACTTTTGCATCTGCAACCCTAAAACTGGAGACATTAAACAATAACTATTTTTGCTCTTTGCTCTCAGTCCCTGGTAACTGCCATTTTACTTTGTTTCTATGAGTTGGACTACTCTAGGTTCCTATGAAAGTGGAATTACACAGTATCTGTCTTTTAAGACTGACTTATTTTATGTAGCAGCATAATGTCCTCAAGATTCATCCACACTGTAGCAAGAGTTAGACTGTCCGTCCTTCCTAAGGCCTCATACTGTACTGCATGCATATACATCTTCTTTATCCACTCAGCTGCTGGTGGACATTTGTGTTGCTTCCACCTCTTGGCTTCTGTGAATAATGTTGCAATGAACATGGGTGTACAATATCCCTTTGAGACCCTGCTTTCATTTATTTTGATTAAATCACCAGAGCAGGATTGCTAGATCATAAGGTAGTTCTATTTTTAATTATTTCCAGACTGTTTTCCATAGTGGTTGCGCCATTTTACATTCCACTAACTGCATAAGAGTTCCAGTTTCTCCACAAATATTGATGTGTTTTTCTTCTCATTTAGTTTAAAATATTTAAAAATTTATCTTGATGTTTTTTCTTTGAGCCATGTGTTAATTAATCATGTTTTATATAATCTTTACATATTTGGAGACTTTCCAGTTATCTTTCTGATTTCTAGCTTAATTTCATTGTGGTCTGAGAGCAGGCATTTATTAGTTCTATTCTTTTAAATGTATCAAGGTTTTTAATGGTCCAGAATATGGCCTATTTGTTGAATGCTTCATGTGAGCTTGCAAAGAATGTGAATTCACCTGTGAAAGTCTACAGATATAAATGATATAGAGTTGACTAATGGTATTGTTGAGTTTAAATATGTCTTTACTGATTTTCTACCTCCTGAATCTGTTCATGTCCGCTCTGTCTGAAATTAATGTTAAGTTAGCTACTTATGCTTTCTTAGTGCTAGCATGGTATATTTTCCTCCTTCCATTTACTTTTATCCTGTATGTGTCTTTATATTTAAAGTGTGTTTCTTATAGACAAAATATAGTTGGGTCTTGTTTTTTGACATAGTCTGACAATCTGTGTCTTTTAACTGGTGCATGAAGACGAATAACGTTGATTGATTTTGACATAGCTGGATTAATATCTATCATATCTGTTACTCTTTTCTATTTGTTATACTTGATTTTTGTTCTATTTTGTCTTAAGTGAGCCTTTTTTGTCTTTATATGATTCTATTCTCTCTCCTTTCCTCGTGTACTGATTATACTTGTGTTTTTTTTAACTGTTTCTACCACTAGGTTGGTCCCCCTGGAGTCTTTAACTCTCAGCCTTGTCTCCACTGAGCCTCTAGGGTTCATCATTACAGTTCACTTTTCCCACTGGGCACTGGTTCCCACAGCAGCTTCCACTCGCGACTCCGTCTATTTGACTGTAGCCGCAATCTTGGGGCAGTGGTTTGCCCTGTGTCCTCTTCTCTCTTCCAGATCGAAAAAGAGCTGTAGATTTTGTAGTCTGTTCAGTTTTTCACTTGTTTTTAGGATAGTATGCAACTTCCAAGTTCCTTACATGTGGAGCTACACACAGGCTCCTAACAGCTTCTGTAGCTCCGGGCTCCTCCTCCCATCCCAGTCTAGACTCTGTAGACAGAGGGTGGGCAGCAAGTCCCAAAGAGCCAGCTCTCAAGTCTGCTTCTCGCTAGCTGTGTTATCCTGGGCAAGAAATGTCACGTTTCTGAGATTCCGATTCCCCATCTCTGACTAACATCACCGATGACTTCAAAGGGCTGTTTTAAGGATTAGAATCAATTACAAATGGTTCAGCACGAAGGCTGGTATGAACTTGACCTTTGGGTGAATAAATAGAAGCCCCCTCTTTACTGTTACATTACTATTTTAGGACACTGCTTTTATCAGACCATATCTTTACTCAAAAACTCCAAAACCAGCCCCAAGCTGTAAACAAATGCTCTAACCTCTGGTCAGCTGTAGCAGTTACTGTCTCAATTCTTCCTTTGGCCCTGAACTACTGTTTTGGGATGGTTTTTTATTTCCCCATTAAATGTATTTCTTATCTCCAGTCTTAACTCCTGAAGGACAGGGACCCAATTCATAACATTTCACCAGGTCTTCAATAACAATTCTCGATAAGGAGAAGGAAGTAGGATAGGTCCAGGGAGGGGCAGTCAAAACATTAAGACAGGACAGAACATAGTGCCTTGATTAAAATAATATGGCAGCACCTCTATAATACTGCAAAACACAAGATGTCCAAGCTTCCTGTCTGCTGGAGGCTTTAAAAAAAAAAAAGAAAAAAAAAAGAATAGAAATGCAGTTGTACATGGATAGGCAGTGCATAGAAACACATGAATGTAAAGTGTAGAGTCATGTAACTGGGCAATAAAAAAGTGCAACAGCCCTAGCGGGTTTAGCTCAATGGACAGAGCAACAGCATATGAACTGAAGGGTCCTGGTTTTGATTCCAGTCAAGGTCGTGTACCTCAGTTGCAGCCTCGATCCCTGTCCCCGGCTGGGTACACGTAGGAGGCAATCAATCAATGTGTCTCCCTCACAATAATGATGTTTCTCTCTGTCTGTCTTTCCTTTCACCCCCTCTAAAAAAATTTAAAAAAAGTCAATGGAAAAATATCCTCGGGTGAGGATTAACAACAAAAAGCAACACTAGGCCCTGGCCAAGTGACTCGGTTGGTTGGAACACCGTCCTGTGACCTGAAAAATTGTGGATTCAATTCCTAGTCAGGGCACATACCCAGGTTGTGGGTTCAATCCCCGGTCTGGTCATGTATGGTTGGCAACCAATTGATGTTTCTCTCTCACATCAATGCTTCTCTCTCCTCCCTTCTTTCTTCTCTAAAATCAATAAACATATCCTCAGCTGAGGATTAAATATAAAAAAAAGCAACAATAGCATGTTTTCCTGATTTGGATAGAAACATCAGCCATGCATAATAATTTATAGTAACAGTAATAGTGACAATGCTTAGATACTGGTTACTGTCCTAAGCACATTACAGAAAGCATCTCATGAAAACCCCATGACAGTTGGTACTAGTTTTAGTGCCATTTTACAGGTTGAGATACTGAGGCTTTGGGAAAATCAAGTGACTTGCCGCTAGCTACCTAGCTGGTAAAAAGAGAAATAGGGTCCCTCGGTATCTTCTTACATATTTCCTACATATTCTGGGACTCCATGATCTGATAACCTTACAGTCTGCCCTCTCCCTCTTTGCTCCGCCTTGCTCTTCCTAGAACGCACCGGGCATATTCCTAGCTCAGGCCTTTGCACCTGCTGTTCCCTCTTCCTGAAATGCTCTTCCTGCAGATGCTCACATGACTGGGTCCCTCCACCCTTTTCAGTTCTCACTTAGTGAGCCCTTACCTGAGCCGTCTATCCAGCACCGCAATCCCCAGCTGCTCCAATCTCCTTTCCAGTTTACTTTTCTTTTTAACATCACTGCTCGGCCTGTTACATTACAAGTGCTACTTCATATATCTGTTTCCTGTCTGTGCCCCACCCTCACCAGGACTGGCAGGGATTTTTGTTCCCCGTTTGCTGCTGTATCCTGGCACCCAGAACAGTGCCTGGCACACGCAGCCCCTCAATACATACTTGTTGAATGAATGAGTCTCCTTACCTCACATCATTGCCACCATGCGCAAAGGATCCAAAGCAGGCAGTGAGGACCTGCAGAAAGTGGAACAGGAGGTGGACCTCGGATGTGTCTTTCTCATCTTTCTCTTCTTCCGCGGGGTCCTCCCGAGGCCGCGCGGGATCTGCCAGCTCAGACGCCAGCTTCATTTCCACACCTCCCTCCTCGGCCTCGATCTCCGCCTCGGCCACCGCGTTGCAGTAGCTGGAGTAGCTGTCGTAGCGAAGTCTCTTTTTAGAATAGGACACGGTGTCGCCCACCAGCTTCTCGCTGTCCTCGGGGGCGGGCGACGGGTCGATAGCTTTGAAGGTCGAGTGGACCGGCATCCCGCAGATGGCCGCCGTGTAGCACGTGTAGCTGTTGTTCCGCCGCAGGAACCGGTAGTTGTTCTCCGGGGCGGGCTTCTCCTCGGAGCCCCTGTCCGTGTGGATCCTGTGCAGCAGGTCTTTGTAGAGCCCCGAGTCCTTGTGGACCGTGTGGTACACGTGGCCGTCGCTCCTCGTGTGGCCGTCGAAGCCGAAGGTGCCGTTGGAGATGGGCAACTTGGTGGAGCCGTGCGTCATGGAGAGCGCCCTGCCTGGAAGGGGCAGACAGAGCCTTACTGTCCGGCCTCAGGAACAGAAACCACGTCTGAAAGGACATACTCCCCGCTGCTTCGGGATGCTAATCTCTGCAAGGCTGGATTATGGGTGATTTAAATTTTCCCCCACATGCGTTGAAATCGGTTTGGCTCAATGGATAGAGCATTGGCCTGCGGACTCAAGGGTCCGGGTTCGATTCCGGTCAAGGGCATGTACCTGGTTTATGGGCAAATCCCAGTAGGGGGTGTGCAGGAGGCAGCTGATCAATGTTACTCTCTCATTGATGTTTCTAAGTTTTTATCCCTCTCCCTTCCTCTCTGTAAAAAAATCAATAAAATATAATTTAAAAAATAAATAAATAAAAATTTCCCCACATGCCTTATTTTCTGAATGGACTATAAAGGACATGTAATATGGTTAAAATAAAAAAGGAAACCTGTAAACATAAGACAGAAAGGTAAAGCTAATAATAAGGTATTTTTGAAATGATATTATTTTTCTCTTAAAAAGTCTCTTCCAGAAATTACTACAGCATTTTTTTTCTGTTTCTAGTAACTAATAAAGGGAGAATCCGGTAAGGAACTTACTTTAGGAAACTTCACATAAAAGGGGCAAAGCCCAGCTTCCTGGGAGGCGGACACTCTAGGTGCACAGTGAAAAGGCCACAGTGAAAAGGCCAACGTGACTGTGGAAGGTGGTGTCTGTCAGCTCTGTGGGCAAAACTAACGTGCTTCCCCTGGGCCAAGTCTGAGGCCGCACCTAGCAGAGCGGCTGCCAGGCCCCACCTTGAGGGAGGCAGGAAGCTGCCCTGGCAGGCCGGGCAGAGGCTCGCCCACCATCGTCTACAAACTTTATGGACCAAAGGACACGCCAGGGCAGGTTTGATGTTTTCAGAGGTTTCTGTGATTCTACGGCAGGAGATGGCCCTGGCTCCAATTTTAGCTTTCTCCCTGCGCCTTAGAGGGAGGCATCCTTACGAAGTTGGATAAGCCAGCCTCTGGCAGTTAGGTAGCTGCACCACCAAACAAGTGAGCGCACACGCAGCTGAGCGCCCTGGCACCACTGTGCCCTGGCGCCTGATGGACTGTGAATAGTTCCTGGAAGGAAAGCACAGGACAAGAGGAATTCTGTGCTGAAGGAAGGCCGGTCTCCTGAGGCCTCTTGAGTCTCTGGGTTTTCTCAAAACATATAATGGGGGGACACTTATGTGCCCTGAAACCTAGCCACCCACATACAGGCCCCGCTGCTTACCCCGAGGAATGGCTCGCGGCCACCATAAGGGCTACTGTGGTCTTACCATAAGCCACCCGGGGGTGGTTGATGGCGGATGTGACTTCCGGGGCCACAGACGTCTCCCCAGCCGACCCCGTGAGAGGGACGGTGCTGTCATCACTGGCCTTGGCCCCGGGGAGCTCTTTAAATACGGGGGACTCTGCTTCCGGAATTTTACTGAGGCTTTCATCAGAGACTCGCGATAAAGCACCTTCTTTTTGTAATTTGCCTAAAGAAAATATAGTCATAGCTGAAAATTTTAGAATTCTTATTATTAAAAAATAAATATAAAAAAAGAATATTTATCTTTATACCTTAGTTCTTACTTTGGAAATGAAACAAACAAACAAAAAAAAGTAACAGCCAGACAGAGAAAATGGAGAGTTCAATCGATTGTCTGGAAAACTTAGGCCAGAAAATTCAGCGACTGAGGAAAACACGGGGGTGTAGGGCCTGAATTATCTCATCAAAACCCAGCAAAACAGAGATGGTCAGATCTGATCCCCAGGGTCCCTGTTCAGAGTAGGATTCTGTAATTCTATAACCATCTGGGTCTCGCCTTATATTTTCTTAAACTAACCTCAGAATCACTGAAATGTTTATCCTTTTTGTCTTCATTGATATTGTTATAGTCTGTTTGGTTTTCTTCTATTCAATAAATTATTGGTCTCAGAATTCTTCAAGTCACTAAATCTTAAGAAACAAGTAAATCATTTTCCTCAAAAAACAAAACAAAACAAAACAAAAAAACCCACCACCAACAACTGAAGATTCTACTTTGAAAAATCATTTACTTTCTAAAGAAACAATAGATTTTTAAGAAGCCTTTTTATAGCTCGCTAGCACTCTTCTGAGTCAAATCTGTTCTGTGGGGCTACTAATATAATGATTTTGTAAAATTCCCTGAGCAAATGCTTAAGCTCTCCCTTACAGCAATGAAATGAAAATGCTCTTCTTGGTTGAAGACACATGTAGTTTCTCTCCCTATCATCTCTCTATCTCTGAATCTACCTAGTCAGACAGATAGATTTTTAAAAACTAAATTCTTCTTACTTACTACAGGGAACAAGAAATGTACATATAGATCTATTGGCCTCAAATTGCTTATAATCTAAATGAGAGAATATTTGCTTATCTCTCTCTCATATATATATATATATATATATATATATATATATATATATATATATAAAGCCTAAGTGACTGTTATGACAGGTCGACCGAATGTTTGGTCGCTATGATAACACACTGATCACCAGGGGACAGATGTTCAACTCAGGAGCTGCCCTCTGGTGGTGGGTGCACTCTCACAGCCAACCTCCTATAGTTCCCCACCCCCCCAACCCTCTCCCCACCTGTTGGCCCCAATCGCTGGTCAGGCCAAGGGACCCTACCCATGCATGATTTATGCACCAGGCCTCTAATTATAATTAAAACAAAAACTGTTAACACAGAAAAATGGCTCCGGCAGCTTTCTAAGCCATATTCTTCTTTCTTTAAAAACTGTTTTCACTGAGGTAGAACTGTAGAATTCATACATTTTGAATGTCCAGGTGACAACATAGGAGTATACCCTATACCACTCCTGCATTCAGACAGTAATTTCTCTGACCCTGCAAAGTTCCCTCCTGCCCCTTTGCAGTCCGTCTCCTGCGGCCCCGCACTGGCCTCAGCAACCAGTGATTTCTATAGATCAACCTTCCCTGACATCATATGGCATGTGCTCTTCTGTGTCTGGCTTCTTTCTCAGGGAAAGGCCTGGAGGGTGTCCTGTGGTGCCCACAGTGGTAGGCAGTTCATTCCTGTATTACTCAGCAATCTTCTAATGTACGAACAGACCACAACTTGGTTATCTATTAACGTGTTAATGAGCATTTGGGTTGTTTCCAGTTTGGGACAATTACGACCAAATGATTTGTGTACAAGTGTTTTCATGAACAAACACTTTCATTGCTCTTGGACAAAAACACCTAGAAAAGGGATAATTGGGTCATATGCTAAGTGTATACTTAACTTCATAGGAAACTGCTAAACGACTTTCCAAAGGGGCTGCACCACTTTACATTTCATCATAAATAAAGCTACTCCATTTCTTCACCAGCACTTGATATTGCTAGTCTTTCTACTTGTGGGTGTGCAGTGGTACCTTAGTGTGGTGTTAACTTGCACTTCCCAGATGACTAAACGTTCACCAGGCTGGTAGAGCTCCCTGGCATAGGTCACTTCAGTTATCCGCAGCAGCTAGGGCCTTGCTGTGTGAGCCAGGCCCAGGAGACAAGGCCTGGACGTGTGTCGCAGTGAGTGTTTTAGCGTTACCCATGCTTCCACTTCCCTCTGTTAGTACGGGTAACTGTGCATCACATCGGAAGTCTTGGAACTCAGGAGCACTTTTTTACATCAGAAAAATAAAAGAACGCTTACCTGCTATTTTCCTCCGCATCCACGGACACACAAAGAGCCACACGAAAATGGCGAACAGCAGCGCTACGCCAAAGGAGATGAGCGCTATTGCCCAGATGGGGAGGACCAGGCCGAGCACTGAGAACAGAAAGGACAGCAGGGGTCTCAGTGGCCACTTTCTGAAAGGTCAAGTCTCACAGCAACATACTTTCCGTTCCCCTAAGCTAAGCCAATCGATCACCTGGAATTTGTGTTTAATAAAACCACAGCCAAAAACAGGTGCCATGCTTTTCAGGACAGAAAGCTGTGTATTTAAGACACATTTTACCTTGTGAATATGTGTTTAAATTGGTCCTAATCTAATTATTAAAATTTTACCAAATTTGCCCTGACAGGTTTGGGTCAGTGGATAGAGCGTTGGCCTGTGGACTGAAGGGTCCCAGGTTCAATTTCGGTCAAAGGCATGTGCCTTGGTTGCAGGCATACCCCTAGTGCAGGAGGCGGTTGATAGATGTGGCAGTTGAGAGATGTTTCTCTCTCATCAATGTTTCTAACTATCTCCCTTCCTCTCTGTAAAAAAAAAATCAATAAAATATATTTTAAAAAAAATTTTTTTACCAAATTGGCACAAGCAGCATATTAAGTTGGCAATAAAATCATTTACATCTTATCTTAATATCTAAACTCCCAAGTGGACACATGTGGCTAAGGAAGGAGTCCACCACCTCATGTCCTATCACCAGCCCTCTGGGTGGGAGAAGCTGAGGTCTGGACGCTGCACAGAGCCACTGACTGCCTGCCTCTCTGGCCTCTCACGGATCAGTCACCCTGCTTTAAATGGACATGTCACTCTGACCACATACATTAATCTCTTTAAAAATCAGCTTGGGAATAAAAGAGTTTTAAAAGGATCTTGATCTTCAAACTTAACTCGTCTTTGCAGTATCAACTCATAGAATTACAACGTAGAAAAACTTTTCATTAGAAATGCGGTAATGCACTACTGTGCAATTACATCAGCCAACAGAAGGGTAGGGTGTACATGATTTAGGAACATCCTGTTTTCCTGACACTGTAACATCTCCAGAGCTTGTCACTCTGAATCCTTGTCTTCTGTCACTGGTGGCAACAGGCACCATTCCACACACACTCACAGGTGTACAACTTAAACACGTGTGCTTACACAGGGGCACACAATAGGTATTCTTGTATATTTGTAATAGCAAGAATTTGTGAGACAACTAATATATGCATCCTTAGGGAAATGTGAAATAGTTACAGTCTTAAATCATAAAAATGAGGTGGATTTATGTACTGATAAGGAAAGAGGCCCAGGATCTAGTTAAGTAAGAAAGGCTGGGTGGGTAGCAGTATGCACAGCATGACCCAATTTGTGTTTTAAAAAGATAACGACCCCACATTTACTTCTATCACATGTGTAAGTGTGTAGCAAAAGTTCTGGAGAACACAATGGTTACTCCTGGGGAGAGATACGAAATTGGAGGGGGCTTTCAATTCTTACTCCATACACATTCGCACTGGTAAATTGGAAAATATATAATAAACATGCACTTTTGTAAATTGTTAAGTGTTTTTAAAAAGTGTTAGAGGAGTGAACTATTTAAAATATTGCTCTCTGCCCAGCCAGCATGGCTCAGTGGTTGAACATCGACCTATGAACCAGGAGGTCATGTTCGATTCCCAGTCAAGGCACATGCCTGGGATCGAAGCTCGATCCCCAGTGAAGGGTGTGCAGGAGGCAGTGGATCATGATTCTCTCTCATCATTGATGTTTCTAACTCTCTTTCCCTCACCCTTCCACCCTGAAATCAATAAAAATATATTTAAAAAAATAAATAAAAAGTTGTCATTTGATTAAATGAATCTATAATGAAGCAAGCTTGTTACATATGTAATGATTTTATACATAGAAACCAACTCTAAGTTATTCAATTAAGGTATCATTAAATACTAGAGGCCCAGTACATGAAATTCGTGCACTTTAGGGTGGTGTCCCCTTAGCCCAGCCTGTGCTCTCTCACAGTTTGGGAGCCCTCAGGGGATGTCCAACTGACAGGTTAGGCCCACTCCCGAGGTTCCCACCACTGCTGCTGCACTCATCAGACGTAAGCCTGGCTCAGGGTTTCTGGCTGAGTGGTGCTCCCCCTGTGGAAGCATACTGACCACCAGGGGAAGCTCCTGCATTGAGTGTCTGCCCCCGGTGGTCAGTGTGCATCATGGCAACTGGTTGTTCTACAGTTCAGTCGATTAGCATATTAGCCATTTATTATATAGGATATTTATTGGTAATTGTAAGAGGTAGAATAGATAGTTAATACAATACTAGGAATAAATTAGCATATATAAATGTTGAAAACAAAACACCAGAAACACCTACTTCATCTATAGCTAAGGGCACACTGGGGGCTAAGCTGTTTCTTTTCCTGGGTACCTCAGAAAGGGGGGGCTGGTGTGGGGCCATGTCCCATCAGCTGGCAGCCAGCTCCAGCCCTGGCTCTGCCCCAGAATCCAAAGCTTGGAGCTGCTTATAAAACCACTGGGGCTGACCTCACCAGGCCATGCTTGTGGGCCATGGCATCCCAGCTTCTGCTTTCTGTCTCCATGTCAGTGTCTAATACATGTGACAGAGGATCACTCCAAAGCTGTTTCCTGCCAAACTGAATGGTAACTGTTAATTACCCACATCAAACTGACCACCCAACATCAACACGCATCACTCTTACAGCTTAAAAGTACTTGGTTTTTGAAGAGGTTTCCCCTGTTTCCTTTGGCTCCTGCTTTAGTTGGTGGTAAAATTGTCAACTGTGCTACTTTTGACTTCATTGTGTTAACCTGACCTAAGAGAGGCAAGCCATGGATACTGTGGGGAGAGAGAAACAATTTGAGAGATATTTGCTCCATCCAGGCCAAGCAGAGCCCACAACAAAAGCCAAGAAGGGCTGCTTTATGGGCCTTTTCCAAGCCCATCTCCACACTCACTGCTGGGTTCCAGTGGATTCCAAGGGTGTCAGGGCCAACATGCCCAAGGGTTTCCTGAGGTCAGTTATAAGCTTCTGATCCTTTTCTTAGACAACAAGCCACAACGTCACCTGCTCCTTGAACCTTTCCTGTCAGAACCGCCTTTGCCATTGGTCTGGCCTGGGGCATGGCCAGAGGCTCCGAAGTTGCCCTCCCAGTCATAAGGCACTGGATGGGAGGGCAGGGGGGCAGGATTAAGTAAAACATCAAGGAGGGACAGCATGAAGGAAAATAGGAGAAAGTCATTGATAGTGAGCAAGGTCAGAGGAAAAGGAGGAACAGAATTTATTTTTGTTTTTGTTAATCTTCACCTGAGGATTTATTTTTTCCATTGCTTTCTAGAGAGAGTGGAAGGGAGGAGGAGAGACAGTAAAAGAAACATCGATGTGAGAGGAACACATGCATTAGTTGCCTTCCACACCAGCACTAGAGATTGAGCCTGTAACCAAGGTATGAGCCCTTGACTGGAATTGAATCCATGACCCTTCAGTCCACGGGCTGGATACTCTATCCACTAAGCCAAACATTGCAGCTAGAAGGGGCAGAATTTAAATCTTACCAAATCAGTAACATAACTGAGCATCAAAAGAACATGAGGGTTTGTTTTAAAGCTTCCATATGAGAAATGCAAACTGACAATTATCTATACATATAAAAGCCTAATATGCAAATTGTCCCCTTGGGAGTTTGATCACTCACTACGATGTGCACTGACCACCAGGGGGTAGTGTAAAATGAAGGAAGGCCCCGGCCAGCAGCGGAAGGAAGGCCGGGCTAGCAGCTGGAAGGCCCCAATCAGCCCTGATTGCCAGCCAGGTCTAGAGATCCTACCAATTACAAATTTCATGCACAGGGCCTCTACTTTGTAAATAATTCTAAATTGTAACAAATACATCAAATCCAATTTCATGGGTAAAACATAATTAAATACAAAATGTCAGCAGAGAAAAGCACTGGAATCAATGTGCATCTGAGGGAGAACTTTTTCTCCTGGAAAAGTTAAGGCTGAGTTACACATAACAAAATTTTTGACAGGAATACTTGGTATTGAATTGTCTTCCCCTGAGGATCTCAAAATGTTTTGCAATAATTACACCTTAGGAGGGCGATAAAGCACGGCTTGTCCTTCACTCTGCGGACAGGCAAAGTAGGACATGGCTTGAATTGCTCCAGCTGCCGCAGCCCAAAGCACTGCCAGGAACCAAGGCCGGGAGCTCTGAGCCTGTCCTCCGCTCCAGCCGATCAGGGGCCTTTCATCTCCAGCCCTTTCCCTTCTCTGAACAGCAACGCTATGATGAACAGTGATTTAGCTCCAACCTCAAGCATCATTACAATCCTGTTCCAAATGCCCCAAAGATCAGAAGATTCAAGTGACTCAAGCAGTAAAGAGAGCATTTCAGAAACGAGCACAGTCTTCCAGAGTCATTGCTTTGTTACACCTCTTGCTTTTCATCTTCGACAGTCATTATTAGAAACTACAAAATAACTCAAACTGTTATACAACCAGTAAGGCTTCAGCCCATATTAACTCCCTTACAGCCCTACGCATCAGCCTCTCCCTACACTTTCCTTCTTTTCTCTCCCCCCTTATAGTATAATTTATAATATAGGCTTACTATAAAAATGTCAGCAGTAAAAAATTGTACGACGTACAAATATAAAATTCCTCACCACACTCCCCTCTTGAACCCACTCCCCAGAGTTAACTACGTGGTGTGTCGTTTTCCAGGCATCATCTAGATTCAAACCACACAGTGTGGGGTGGTGGCCAGAAGTCTGTCCCCCTCTTTTCTTTAACTTAATAGGTGCAGAATCTTACCGTTCTGTACTTTCGATTCTCACATAACAACACACTGTCGACATCTTTCCACAGTAACACACACACACACATTTACCTCCCTTGCAGAATCACATTTTACCAGCCCTCTCTTATCGGATAAACTAAGTCAATGGTTTTTGTTTAGCTTGTTTTACATCAATTTGTTCAAAGCACTGAAAAGAATAATAGGCATAAAAGATCCTGGAGCAACTTTAAGAAAATGAAGCATTCTTTTGAAATTAAAAATGCTATTTCCTCTTATAATTGGGATTTCCCTCCT